CCAAGAATTATATACCCAGCAACATTGTCCCTCAAATATGATGGTGAAATTAGGGCATTTCCAGATATGAACAAATTGAAGGAATTTGTTAAAACCAGACCAACCTTCCAAGAGATACTAAAGGGAGTCCTTTGAACAGAGAACCAATAGCAAACAACACCCGACCAGTAACACAAGATGACATAACCCAGAAACCAACACAGCTATGGAAGTATCCAAAGTAAAATAAGCTTACAAGATGGTAAACAGGGAATGAGAGACATCAATTGGCAAGTGAGGACAACTACAAACCAAAAAGAGGGGGAAAATAGTGTAGTTACAGAACTTCTGAATGGTGAGGAAGTTAAGAGTGTTGCAAGATAGAATGGACTGTTCTAAACTCAGGGAGGAAATTATAAATCACAGGGTAACCTCAAAGAAAAATGATAAACCTTCACACCACAATAAAAAAGAGGACAAGGGCATACATTTAGCAAATATTATAAAAACAGCAACAAATAAAATGATAACACAATTCATAAACATAATGAGCCCAGCACAGAAAGTTATATGGAACAAAGAAAACAGGAATACCACGAAGAAACACATAACAAAATGACAGCAACCAATTCATACTTGTTGATATTTACACTGAATGTCAATGGATAAAATGCACCACTGAAGAGACAGAGAGTTGCAAATTGGATAAGAAAACATAACCCATCAATATGCTGTCTACAAGAGCCACACTTAGGGACAAAGACAAAAAAATAATAAATATCAAAGGCTGGAAAAAGATATACCAAGTTAAAGGCAACCAAAAGAAGAGCAGGAGTGGCAACATTAATTTCTGATCAAATTGACTTTAAGACAAAAACCACCAAATGAGACAAGGAAAGACATTATATAATGATTAAAGGAGCAATTGAACAAAAGATATAACCATAATAACTATCTATGGACCCAATGAAAGATCCTAAAAATACATAAATCAGATTTTAACAGAACTGAAAAGACAAATAGATGACTCTACAGTCATAGTAGGACACTTAAATACACCACTTTCAATGAAAGATAGAACTGGAAAGAAACTCAAGGAAGACGCAGAAGAACTAAACAATACAATCCACCACCTTGATCTTACAGACATCTACAGAGCACTTCACTCTCAGGTTTCTGAGGCAATATCACTACAGCAGTAGATTGCCAAATCTTCCTTCTGAGGAGGGGCTGATGGATTTGAACTGCTAGCCCTCTGATTAGTCCAGTGCCTTAGGCACTATGCCATCAGAGCTCCCAGAGAGATGCAAATCAAAAGAACAATTTGATACCATCTTGCCCCAGCACTAGTAACAAAGTTCAACAAACAGAAAATAACAAATGCTGGGGAAGATGTGGAGAGATTGAGACTCTCATCCACTGCTGGTGGGACTGTAAAATTATACAACCACTGTGGAAAACTGTATGGCGATTCCTTAAAAAGTTGGAATTAGAAATACCTTTTTACCCAGCAATTCCATTACTAGGTATATATCCTAAAGAAGTGAGAGCCAGGACAAAGACAGATATATGCACACCCATGTTCATTGCATCACAATTTATAATAGCAAAAAGATAGAAACAACCTAGGTGCCCATCAACAGAAGAATGGATAACCAAACTGTGATACATACACACAATGGAATACTATGCAACCATAAAGAGTAACGTAGAAATTGCAAAACACCACATAACATGGATGAACTTGGAGGACATTATGCTGAGTGAAAGAAGTCAATCACAGAAGGACAAATATTGTATTAGTCTGTTATTGTAAAAAGTTAAGGAAACATTTATACATGGAAGGAAATTTTCTTTGTTGGTTACCAGGGGTGGGAGGGGAGAGGAGGGAACACTGTTAGACAGGTAGAGACAAGTATTGATTTGGGTGAAGAGAAGGGCAATGTACCAAATGTGAGTAATCAACATGGTGACACTGAGAATGAGGAAGGCATAGAGAGATGCATGGGAGGCACAGACAACAAAGATGAACCATTTTGCACATAAGGTACTTCTTTGTCAGTGATGCCAAACATTGATCTATGGGTAGATAGATGGGTGGACAGGGTGAACAATTAGGTATGTCTATGCAGGGGGCAGTGTGCCCATGACCATGTATAGGGTTGGCAGACAATTTTTCTACAAGTTTATTTGTATGTTCTGTAAG